TCCAGTGGAACAAAAAATTAAGGTAAGCCACAAAACACGAATTCACGCGCTATAAAGCAGGTTCAATGCCTTTTTTGGAGACATTTTTTTTTCCTGTACAGCCTCCTGTCCTTTTTAAATGTATTATTTAAGTAACAATCATAGTTTTCTCATTTTAATATTGCAGCAAGAAAAGTTATGAGACTTTTTGGTCAGTTTAAACAGGAAGGTGGCTTACAAAGTGTGTTGCTATAGTGGCATGGCTCTGGAAATGCCAGTGAAACTTTGATCTTCTGAAATACATCATCAACAATTTTATGTATTATCATGTCATTTTGTATAGACATTAACGGTCCCAACACAACGTATACTAATGAGTTTGGTGATTCTCATACTGTTATTCTAGTGCCCAACATGAGAAAGAGAACGTGGCTTTGAGTGAAATATCTTTCTGTAATACCACTCAGAAGCTGAAGGATTTCCTATTATGTAAAACCTTACGGGGCTTCTAGCGTGACAGTAGATTAGTTTTGCTTTTTCAATGCTTTAACTAACAATCATTGCTTTTCAACCATCAAATAACCCACACTGAGCATTCAGTAAAAAACAGGAAAGCGTGTAACAAAGTTGCCTTTTAATTACCACCTCACTTTCACTGTTTATTCCCTTCTGAAATGGATTAGGGTACTTTAACGGCCTCTGGAGCTCAGAACAGTCCTCACATTGTGCGACTCCCAGGGTTGCATAACCTGGATTTGGGGAGGTGAATGAGAATATTGACAGTCGCACAATACTGTATGGAAAACGGCAACAACAGTTGAGCCCTGCAGCGTTGGAGGGAAAGTGACACCCTCACGGTTGCAGCTATAAACTGATACAGAAAAAAACGAAAAAAAACACAGACTGGTCTCTGTGGCTGTCAGATGACTGCGCTCCCTTTCATCACCAGAACAAAGACGCTCAATGTGGTGCGGTTCCTACAGATCACAAAGCCAATTTCCGCTGCACGCAAATCAACAAGAAAACACATTGAACATCTTGATGCCTCTGATTACAGATCTCATCAGGAAGGATTGCTTGTTGTAAACAATGACGTACTCTGAGATGCTGCGTCGGCAGATGTGCAACATTATTTTGGTTCCTGCTACATGAAAAAGTGCCTCCTTATAAGGGCAAGTTAAGATTCAACTGTTTACCAATGCTTCATTTTATCATGATCATATCACCAAGTATCTGTTCAGAAAACGTATTACACACCTGTCATATTAAGACAATGACATAGGGAAAAAATGGCTTTTAAAAATAGGGTTTTATAAAACTTCATGCAAATCACATGTTCTTTTTCAGCTTCACACGCATACAAATCAACAAAAAGACCATTGTTGTCTCGAATAAAAATCTCCTCAGGCTGAATTCTTCTTAAACACTGAGATTGTGAGATCAGCAAACTCTTAGCTTCATTAGATGTAAATTAATGTCATATTTTTAAAGGAATATGTTCTCACACTTTAACTATAGTCTGGTATGTTTTATCAGATACTAATGGCACATAATGTGTAACATTAAGCCTATGAAATGATGGGATAAAGCACCTTTAATATATACATTTGTCACACAGTATAAATGAGTACGTGCAATATCCAGTTAATGCATAAACAGGTTGAAAGGTTCAACAGGTTTAAAGAGGTGTCTGGTGTTTTATGAGTCTCCTGCTGGCTGTTTGTTTATCCTGTGACACAATGTGGGCAGCAGCTGCAGCTTCACCTCTTTGCTGTCCCCAGAACTCACAAACACATCTCAGTCAGACAACAAGTAAACAAGTCACCACCGTGCAAATCACACAATGACCTGATGCTGATTCCTATGGGATGGGGATGCTAGTTGACTACTGAGAGACAACAATGGGGGGGGGGAAATGTAGCTTATGTAACTTTTCTCAGATTTCTAATTAAATACTACATAGTTTAAGTTCCTCCAACCCTCGAAAATGCTTTATGTAATGGCTCTATAAAGGTTTTCTTGGAAAGACATTTTTAAAATGGGGCGAACTTAAGCTAAATATGAATGTCCTTTAGAGAAAATCACCATCTAAGGTCACCTAAACATTCATTTATTGTTCAACCTTTCTTTTTCATTGTTGTTTTCGAATGGAAAAGCATTACAAATCTTACAGTTTCATTTGGTTGCTAGCAACTGAGCTTTGTGCAACACGGCAAACCCGATCTGCAGAATAATACTTATTTTCGTCTTTAAATCTGAAGGAAAAGCTAGAAAACATGCAGAAAGATTTGTTTGGTTTCTGGATTCAAGAGGAAATGTTCTCATTCAACCTGTCAAGGAAGTGTTCCTGAACTGAACACTCTTCCATTTTCCCCGTTTATTCACACCAAACTACTTCATTCTCTTCAGGATTTCTATGGGAATGACATAGAAATAACAGATAAGGTTTGAGAAGTTAACATGATTTTATGGACGATTTGGGAATCAATTGGTCAAACTTCAACCCGACGCTGGTGCTAGAAGGAAAGTCCAGGATCAAAAGGGTTCATCCTCTGGGGGACATGTATGTGTGTATAATGTTTCCCATCAATGGAACCAATACTTGTTGAGATATGTCAGCCTGGTCCAAAGTGGTGGACCTACTAAACTGACATTATCATCCAGAGCTGAGTATAAATGTGTCTAAAAATACATGTGAAACGTCTGAATCTTTCTACGGATGACGACAGAGCAAAAGTAGAAATAAAGATTAAAAAGATTTTAATCAAGTGTGTCCGCAGAGTCTCTTAAAATTAGGTTCCTTCATTGAAGTTACTTTGGCAGCGTAGTTGTTGCCCTTGGATTTTACCCACAGGCGAACATTGACCTATGCAAATAAACAGTCGGCCTGATCTTAAAATACTGACATCTATCTTCCAAAACAAACACACAAGTAAACATATTTTCCCATCGACTGCCAGCTGGCTGGATGGTTAAAGTGCTGGGTGTTAATGGTAACAGACCTTTGTTTTCTGAGATAATGGCCGGCTGCCTCTGTTTCATGTCTGCTGCTCAAGGCTTTATTTGAGTACAGGAAGGTAGAGAGTCGGTTTTGATACATTGAGTAATTGTTATAAATATCAGCAAGAAAAAGCAAAAACTGCTGGGTTTCCCTCTAACGTAATCACCTCCATAGCTTCAGTGTCATTGGCTACGTTATGTTCTATTTCTTGGAAATATTTCAACTTACAAAGTCTATCAAATAGACCCCCTGAAACTGCAATCTTTCTATTTCAAACTTTTTATAGTTTCTTGAAACTGCATTGTTTTTTCAACTTTTCTCACGCTGTGCAGCAGAAATGGGAAATGATAAAGACATGAATATGTGAGTGAGACTGACTCATGATTTTATTTGACGACTGTCAGTCTCTTTGACAATCCAGAAATCCTCTCTGTTTTATTTCTGTCTGGCTCATCTCCAGTGATTGTACACGGGCACAACCTTCTTCGCCCATGGCAAGAATCTCAGAGGAATGCGACTGTGGTCAAAACGTGGCAAACTCTTGTGGTTGAGAATAAGAAGTAAAAAAAAAAAGAAGCATTTTTTTCTTCCGCCCTCTGTTTTCTAAAAAAAGACAAGAGTATCTGGAGAGCTGCATTGTTTCAATGAATGTATTAATCTCACCCAAATGGATTACAACATGATGGCGGTGTGTATGGGGATGGCGTGCAGTGATGGAAAGTATGAGCGGCCTAGGAGGAGGAGGGGGGATGGGGGGTAGCTGAGTCTCCAGAAGAAATGTGTAATCTGAAGGAAACATGACATCACTAACTCAACAAAGCTGAATGACTTGTTAATAAGCCTTCAAATAAATTCAATAAAATAATTGCATGATAAAAGCGTTCTCATATATTAAGCTTGTCGTCTTCCTCCAAGCCAATTCTAGGAACATTAAATGAAAAGGGATTGTTTCCTCAAAAGGTCTCCTTGTTCTTCTCCTCATAAATCCTACTTGAAAAAAACTGGACAGGGGGCCACAGCACTTATTCATAGTATCAGTTACTCACTTTGGACCCCGTTCAGGCCCCCAACCCCCCATAACATCCACTGTTTCCTCCCACTAAAGAAGGAACATCCTCTCTGGTCCATCCAGGGAGTGGGGGTCAAATATTTGACTTGGAAATATGCACTTTTCACTAAGTCACCCTTTATAATGCCTTTATCGCTGATACATATTTCACTATTAATGAGTCCAACTTGTGGGTTACCAATTTCTCAAGAATCCCACTAGTTTTGGCAGGTGTTATACATTATAGTGATACACATGTTTGAGATTCTCAGTTTTTAATTTGCAATCAAACCTGCAGTTGCACATGCTCTTAACTTTTCAATACATAGATTTTATTTAAATTATTTCTAAATCTGCAATGATTGGTCGATCGACAGAAAAACAAACGATCAACCCTTTGAAAACCGATTAAACATCAACATTTGAAGCAATATTTTCAGAGAATGCAGTTTTAAGCCCCTCACACATGCAGAAACTTTCCTATTTTATCTGGGAAGGACGTTTTTCACAATTTCTGAAATTGTACAGACCAATTGATCAATCGATTAATCGAGAAACAAATCGGCAGATTAATTAATAAAGCGTAAGGTTATGCTCTGGATCACTTTAGTGAGAAAATAAGTGATAGCATATTCTCTAACCAGGAAGTCTTAACAACCTGTTAGCCCACATTTGTTTTGCATGAATTGCATTTAGCTGATCTATAAAGATAAAGTTCATGAGTTATGACCAAAGCATTAATTTATAAACATCCATTTAGAAAGAGAGAGGTGCATAATGTATGTTAATCACATAAGTCTCAGTGTGTTTAACTGAACATAAAGAGGTGAAGTGAGCAAGTTAGTTCTTCAGTTAGCAGACTTTAAGTCTTCATGAGTTCACCATAAATCACCACAACACGCTTTAAATTCACTTATCATCTACTGTTTCACTCACAAAGCCCCCCTCTAAATCCCTTGAGTGTGAGCGTACCTCTGTGTGCCCGGTGCTCTGGAGATGCTCTCAGGAGTCTCTGCAGGATAGTGTCTGCTCCTGGTGCTCTGCTGGATAAAATGACAGATAATTAAATCCTCCGAGAAACTCCTGCGCGCTGCGGGCTCTCCACTGACTGAAGCATCTGCTGCGTAAAAAGGAAACCATTCCCTAAACTCCGCCCCCCCCTCTCTCTCACCTTGTGGGAGTTCAACCTCAGAGAAGGTACACTTATTGTGTTTTCTTTGGATGTCATTGAATATTTTAAATACAGAGTAAAAATGTGGCTCCCAGCTGCTGACGTAAACCACGTTATTATCTCTAAATGGAAAAAAACCTTATAGTAACCTATGAGCTATTTATTGTGCTCTACAGCAGTTTGATCCCACATGAATTCAGTAAAAGTCATCTGAGGACTAAGTCCATCATCAATATATAAAATATTGCTTGCAAAATATTTTTTAAATAGTTTCCTTCACTTTTCCTACACTTAACTTTACCCCCTTGCATTTCTGCAGTTAGCAGTAGCATACACTTCATAAATGGTTTAATTTAAGTTTAACATAGTTCATATGAGAACATTCTTTTGTGTTTATTTGTGTATTTTTTAATCAAATAGCTTAACCTTATATGTATTATATACGTACAAATATAACACCGATGCTGCAGTCATGATTACATCTTAATTCATACTGTGTTATAAATGACTGATTAAGTGTATACATGTTATGGCAATTATACTATCAATGCACATTAACGTGTTGATACAATTATAATTATAAAGCTTTTTTACATGTTTTAAAGTATTTGATCTACTGTTTATACATGATAACAAATATCTATTTACTTTAATTTATTCATTTTAGACAAAAATGTTTTAGTTGAAAATAGAATTTTGACAAAAAACCCTTAACTCAAAGTCCCCTCACTGGATGTCTCACAGAACTTTTCTGGCTTTCTTCAGAGAGAGATGAAGTTGGTTAAGATGTTATGAGAGTGATGATCACAAACATAAATGCATATTAACTTTATAGATATACTCTATAAAATCAACTAACCTTTAATATGATGTGTATTAATGATACAGAATGTCTTAATGGCTTATGAAAGCCATTAAGACATTCTGGCTGAGAAGTTATAAAACCTTTTTGCCATTTGGCTTCATTTCTCTGCACAGTTGGAGGATAGTGAAGAGTTACTTTAACCCTTCCATCATTTCTGTATTGTTTTTCACTCTCAAGTCTAACCTTCTCGGCTTCATGAAATCTTCTGCGGTCAGGAGCAAACTGCAGGGACCTGGAAAAAAGAAGAAAAATCAAGATATCATTTTCCCTCTCATTGACCTTTATTTTCCACAGTGGTGAGCAGGACGTCTGGGGACGATTAGAGGCTTCAGCTGTGGCTCCAAACTGCCACCACCCATTAACTCAGGACTCACTGCATGTGTAAATGATGGAGGCTTTGAACACACGTGTGTGTGTGTGTGTGTGTGTGTGGCATTTCTAAGCTTATTTGCAGATGCTGATGATGGGCTGTTAGAGTTCATGGTAAATATTGATCTATTTGAACTATTGCCCGAGCAGTGGAGTGACATCTGGTACATCTTTCTAAAATGTAAAATATTAACATTTGATTATGCTGCCACCTGTTGTTTAAATCTGCTACTTACAACAGTCCCAATCTTTGTGAAATCTTCAAAAATGATTAAGGTTATTAAAAAAATGGCTTGATTATGTTATGACTTGATTATGTGCTTTACTTCCTTGCTGCATGTGTATGTCTAATTTCCAATGTTATTGTTGTAGCTTTTTCATTATTATCTTTATGTTCCTTTCATAAAGCTTTTACAAGTTCATTTAATTGGATTATTTAGAATGTTCCTGTTTTAAAACAGTTACGTTTTAAATGGTTCTACACAACATACGATAATTATTATTATGAATACTATTCAAGTGAAGTTCGCATTGCAGTACTAGATTTATTTATGTTTTGGTATCAGTTTTCCTTTTTGATTGTTTATGTTGTATTGTTTTTTATCTGTAAAGTCTGTAAAGCCACTTATCACTTTATATTATTGTGAAACCGTTTTTCATAATGCTTTCTTTGTGTTCAATATAAAAAAAAAATGTAGAAAGATATTAAACAATAATAAAAAGTAGTATTCATACTTTTGTCTAAGTATGTAATAGATTGTTATAGTGTTTCTCAAAATGATTAAATATTATAATTACTATCTTAGAATTTTAAGATACCTACTATGCTTTTAAAAAGTTAAATCCCAAAGACACAGGTAAGTTTGACTCATCAAAATATTTAACATATTTTATTAAAGAATTATGTACAACAATTCAAAAAAACAAATCTCTGACAATATTATTCAACGCTTGCATCGAAAAGTAAACTGTGGAGTAAATGTGTTCAGAAGCTTCATCACAAGCTCTAAGAAAACAAGTTGACAGCAGGGGGGGGGCGGGTTTGTGCGAGAGAAAGGCATCGTCCGTTATTTCCAGACTCCATTAGGACCAACACGCTGTTGAATGGAAGCGAGGCTCTAATGGTGAAACTGGCACAGTGCGGGGATCCTGAGCAGAGCACATGAGTCATTATCAACAGAAAACACAGCAGCACAAACACTCCGCTGACTTTTGTTCATACAAGGGATTAAATCCCTTCACAGCACTCTATAATTCAAAGCAAAATAAAGCAGGAACATGAGAGAAGTTTGGACTGTAAAGCTGTGTTGGAGGAAATGCATTTGAGAGCTTGTCAAAGGAGTTTTTCACTCATACAATGAGCGCTTAAGGAGTATTTTTATGAGTACACAGAAATAACTGGCCATTAGGTAAACATAGCTGACATCTCGATACATGTGCAGAAACTAGGAAACAGTGTGTGTTTTTTTGGCATAAAACACCCCTGTATTACTGGACAGATGTGCATTTCTAAAACCATATATTTGTTTGATCATATTTAGTCTATTTTCATTATTCAGCTGACACACACAATAAGGCACCATGTGCTTGTAAGGAGTAATGTTTGCTTTCACATATTTTGTATTTATCATTTTGTGTATTAAACAGCACTTCCGTTGTGCGCGCCGGCGTACTTTAGTCCCGTCAGGTTGTTACTGGACGAGCGGGCGTCTTGAGGCAAGTTTCCCACTTCAAACACTTCGTGGATGGCTTTTCGGAAACAGTGAAAGTTGTACTCTATCAGACCTGCCAAGAGAACACACACGTCATTTAAAGCTGAATTTATTTTAATAAGAAATGTTACAACCATAGCATTCAAAAACAGTGTTCAAATCGCTGTGAGTAAATGGGAGAAATACATATTAGCTTTGTCTTCCACACTTAGAAAAGGAAAACGATGATAGGAAAATTGTTTGAGATTGTAATATTGACATCAATATGTGCCTCGCTGTTGTAATTGGTGCAAATTTGAGCCATTTAAACTGTAGTTTAACCCAGAAAAATGCATTATATTTTCCATATGTATACAACATTTGTACTGTATACTTTATCATCTTTAGCTGTAAATAATTGTAGTGTAGTAATAAGTGTAATATTCTAAAGTATAAGTACAAGTACCTCAAATGTCTACTTTAGTACGTACTTGAGTAAATCGACTTACACTCCACCAGTGAAAAATAAACAGAATAACATTTCAGATGAAACACCACAATAAAAAAAAAACGCAATATACATTTTTGATCTTAATCTTACTGCCCACATGCAGTCTTCCTTTTTTAAAGCTAAATATTCAATACTCATTTCAAAGCACCTAGCCAATTTAAAGAAGTTGACTATTTATGGTATGAAAAAGGGTGCCTTAATGTGTGCAGAAAGTTTTTAATCAGCTTAGAATTGATGATAAAAGAGCCGGATGAAACCTCGTTTTAGCTTTAGACACCTTTGAGTTGGCAGCTTCACACCTCATTCCCTCTTTCCTGTATAATCAAACCGCTGTCGACTCGTGCCAATGTAACTGACCTTTCCTCTCGAAGCTCTCCTCCCTGAGGATGCAGACGAGAGCGAGGAACTTTGTGACCTCTTTCAAATAAAGCACGGTGGAGTTGTTCAGCCTGATGATAGCTGAGGACTCCTTGTCGTAGGCGCAGCCGCTGCCATCCTGCATCAGCCTGCCAACAGGGGAAGGAAGGCACCTTTAGACTTTCAAACCACAGGAAACTATCTGTGCCAACACTTAAAGTAAATATAAATCTCCTCACCCGTAAATGCAGGAGACATCAATGACAACATCGATCATATCGCAGCAGAGTTCGTAGGACTGCATGTCCACCGGGGAGCTGTCTGTGGCGATGTAAATCTTACTAACAACATCAAACAGGAAGGCTTTCTCGATCCCAGAATGCTGTAAACAAGAAGGATGTAAATAAAGACGGTACAAATACAGACGTAAACGTTTTGTTTATTTCTGTAATTCAGTGCATGAACATACTGAGATGAAAATGTTCAAAAGGTTCTCCAGTGTTGGTAACTGAGGAAGCAGCTTCTGGACGACTTTACTGAAGGCCTCGAATATGGAGTGGTCGTAGATGCTGGTTAGGTAGAGGCTGAGGAGGGAAACAAGAGAGAGGTTAGCCAAACAAGTCTCTAAAACTATGAAGGTTTCTCATTTCTCTCATTTCCCCTCCTCAACTCCTCGGTCCTCCGGTTGTGACCCGGAAATGGATTTCAGCGCGCCATGTTGAAGGACATCTCATTTCTCTAAATGCACATCGAGGACCGAGCATCGAGTATCGAGCAGGCTCTCTGGAGGAGCTCTAACCGAGGATACAATGATGGTTCATCCACGGATGTATTTCCGGCAATAGTGATGTTTCAAAGAGTCGTGACGCACGGCCGGACTTATCTCAGCCAATGACAGCTCTGCATGCATCCCCTGGATATTATCTTATTAACTGCTTTCATCGCAACGCGATGTTTACAGTGAGAACAGCTGTGAGGTCCGTGCAGAAAGCAGAGCAGTGTGTAAAATCACCCAGTATAACAGGCCTACATTACTCTCTGTATTTGTTTGCTGTAGTTTAGTAGATATCTACAAACAGAGTCAATATTTTTCTAAGACCATTTAGTGCTTCACATAATAAAATACACAACGGCTGTAGCCTGATTATGCTTTAGGAGCTGTAGGTGTGTGGTACAGTGTGTAGGTGTGTGTTGTACAGTGTGTAGGTGTGTGTGGTACAGTGTGTAGGTGTGTGTGGTACAGTGTGTAGGTGTGTGTGGTACAGTGTGTAGGTGTGTGTGTGGTACAGTGCGTAGGTGTGTGTGGTACAGTGTGTAGGTGTGTGTGTGGTACAGTGCGTAGGTGTGTGTGTGGTACAGTGTGTAGGTGTGTGGTACAGTGTGTAGGTGTGTGTGTGGTACAGTGCGTAGGTGTGTGTGTGGTACAGTGCGTAGGTGTGTGTAGGTGTGTGGTACAGTGCGTAGGTGTGTGTGTGTGTGTGGTACAGTGCGTAGGTGTGTGTGTGTGTGTGTGTGGTACAGTGTGTAGGTGTGTGTGTGGTACAGTGTGTAGGTGTGTGTGTGTGTGTGTGGTACAGTGTGTAGGTGTGTGTGGTACAGTGTGTAGGTGTGTGTGTGGTACAGTGTGTAGGTGTGTGTGTGTGTGTGTGTTTGTGGTACAGTGTGTAGGTGTGTGTGTG